AGCCCCAAAGCCTTGGAGGGAACGGGACCCTGTGTAGCGGCAGGAGCATCAGGGTGTCCTGTGGAATCATCCGTGCCCTCATGGATCTTCACATGCGGGTGCTTGGGTTCCCAAAAAGCACTTTGGGGGTTCCTAAGGGATGACTGGCTGCCTTAAGTGATGCTTTATCCCATTATCTGTTGTGTTTATGAGTTTGGATTGCTTGAAAAAATCAGGAGGTTTGAGGCTTTTGCAGTAATGTCTGTGACATGGGCAGCATTTAACTCCACCATCAGCACCTGGGAATTCCTTGGTGTTGCAGCCTCCTCTCATGGGCCTTATTTTTCCTTTTTACCTGTAGAAAAGACAGTGTTGGCTCCAGCCTCAGATACACAAGCTGGAGTTAGACTGGCAGTTCCTTAGGCTCACGGTCACGCCAGCGTTCAGTCTGGTGTGGGAGTCAGGCTGAACTGAAAGCCAGATCCAATCCTTCAAATGGGTTTATTTGAACAAACAGGGTAAAGGCTAATTCCCACCTCCTGGGATTTTATCTGGAAGCCTCAGCTGGCTGTGGAGCCCGGCAGCTCATAGTGCAGCAGTGTTTCTGTCAGCTGCCAGCCTGGTGACACTTGAGCCCTGGGGACAAACCTGGAGATCTGTGACAAGAATACAGACAAATAGGCACGCCCTGAGAGCAGGGGCCTCTAAAGGATCCTGTGGGATCTGCTCCGTGGTGTTGGATTACATCCTTGCCTTGGTGCCAGCTGCCTGGGAGGCTGCATGCCACAGAGCAGCAGAGGGACAGGCTGAGCTGTGTGCTGGACATCTGCGTTCAGATGCCACAGGAGGGACCTGGGACAGCCCAGAGCTCATCTCAGCGTCTGTCACTGCGGGCTCCCTTTCCTCTGTGCCACTTGGTGAGGTGCAAAGGGACAGCAGCCTTCGGGAGAGGTGGCACTGGCTGCGCCCCAGTGACAGTCACATCCCTGTGCCCATCCCGGCCTCCTCAGGGGCTCCTGAGCAGCCGCAGCAGGCTCAGGGATGCTGGGGTCCCTGTCCCTTTGCTGCAGCTGGGGCAGCCTGGCTGTCAGTCCCCTCCTCAGAGCCTTCTGAGGGGTGGGAGGGCCCCGAGGTGCTGCTGGGGCACTGCAGCTGCCATGCAGGAGCATTTCTGCAGCACAGGACGGGTCTCTGGGAGGTGGCCTGGGGAGTGGGCTGTCCCTGGGCAGTGTCCCGTGTCCCACCTGCCCTCGGGGGGCTCTGGCCAGGGTGTGCTGTGTCCCACAGTGCTCCAGCAGGCTGTGCCCATCACTGACTGCTCTCTCCTTCCTCCTCACCCCCAGGAGCAGAAGAGGATGCTGGAGCTGGGAATTACAGGCCCAGAGGGGCACGTCCTCAGCCACCCCGAGGAGGTAACGC